CGGAGGTATCGGTAATTACGTCTCTCTATCGAGAGTCGATCGAGAAAAAATATATAGAGAGGTGTAGAGTCGCCGGTGAATTCGTGATAAAGAATAACAAACTCACTCGATGGTGAGAAAAGAGAGGCCAGGCTCGGGTCGGCGATCAGGGTGTTAGTTTCGAAACGACGACATCGTCATTGTAGTCACTGGATGAAAGCTTTGAGAAAGCTTTGAAAAGTGCACGAGAGAGCGCGGACACTGCTCGACTAAATTAAATTCCTCCAAGTTGTAATTGCTTTCTAGACGGTGTTTTTCTTCCGAACGATGCCCAGACCAAGGAGTTCCATTCCGTTGGACCGTGTCACGGGCGATTTTTCAACGAAACTCCCGCCACTTTTTATCTATTTCTTGCCAGTAACGAATTAGACTGCTCGTAGAAATTTCTATTGCCATTTCGAAATGGATCGTGTCTGATGAATTTTTGCAGATCTTCTTTTTTTCCTTCTTCAATAAAGAAACGCTGTGATGAAATTCTTGGATTTTCGGTGAAAATAATTGTGATCGAAGTAGAAATGATAAAGTTGGAAGAAAATACAATTAGTTTATATACGAGCGTATATATGAGAGTATATTAATTAATTATTAGTTAATGAGTATATGTATGTGTATGAAAATAGTTTATTATCACTATGAAAATAGTTTATTATCATTAAGATATTTAAAGAAGGAAAGAAGAAAAGTTGAACTGAAGTTTTTAAGGCTGTATTTTCGCTTCTCTTCTTAGACAAATATTTTGAACAAAATTTATTTAAATGCTTGTTTGAGCATTTACTCGATCTTCTTTATTATATATTCTTCCTTAGCTAGAATCTCTGTCCTCTTCGAAATAAGTTCATTCACCCGAGACGTATCGATCTTTCGAGCGTATTTATTAATATCATATCTTATTTCGAGCATATTTATTAATATCATAAAATATACCTTGTAAAATACAATCGTCAAGTACAATTGTATAAGATTTATTTATTTATGCCTGTTGCAATATATCCTTCTCAAAATAGAATAAATTACTCTTGAAAATTAGTCTTTTCCAATAAGGAACAACTTAAAAGATAATCATCAGAGAAAAATTAAAAGATTAAACCACCGTAGTATTTGTCTTTTTAACATAGAGCAGAATTTAATCGAAATGAGCAGAATATATAAATTATCATCATAACCTTCACATTTCACACGAATATCTTTCTTTCAAATATATTCAATCGTTTAAACACGACATCTATTCAACGTATGTACGATATTTATACAGTTCAAAAGTTCCTTTGGAACAATGCAAAAATACCTCGCCAAACTAAGCATAGACGAGCACGCATACATAGTAACCCTAAATCATGCGCAAATCTGGACGTCGATCAACATTAATCACATTAGCTGGCTAAACTACAATCACTGTCGAACCCTTTCACACACGAACGACGAAAGCATCATCGCCGCTCCAGAAACCGAAGTATGTATCAATCAAACATCGGAAACGTGCAAAGACTCGACAGGGGGGATAGGAGGACGTAAATTTATACCTGTCAGCGTAAACAAGAATCATCGACGTGCCTCGACGTACCTTCGACGAGCTCGTTTCGAAAAGAGGGGGACGAGGGGAGAGGGGTGGACCTCCTCGTGGAGAACACGAGGGACGACGAGAGTACAAGCAGCGAAGAAGAAGCAAGGGAGGAGGAACGAGGATCTCAACGATGACACGTCGTAAGCTGAGCATGAAATCATTTATCTCGCCGGATAAGCGGCGAGAAACGACCGAGCTCTTTCTCTTCCTTCTTACATGGATTTAAACTTCCATCTTCTTCCTCGCGGATTCCTCCTCTCCTCTCGACCGATGCTTTCTTCATCCCTTGCTGTTCACTCTTTGCGTCACTCGTTCGGTACCGTCCACGGTATCCGTGTAACATAGAACGGTTGCCATCAGAATTTTTGCCATCGACGGTGATTAATCTCGAAGGATCGTCAAAGTTGGCAAAAATATGCACGTATGTACGTACGTGCTGAATAAAAAGTTGCAGTTACGGTGCATGCGTTTCTTGAGATGGTAAAATACGGGGGAAATATGAGCCGTTTATTTTGAATGAAGTGGCGCAAGTCACTTTACGGCAATGAAGAATTTTTCTGTGCGAAATTATTTACACTGAGAGAAATATAGTATGTTTTAAGTGTTATATAGTTATATAGTTATATTATATTATATTATATAATTATAGAATATTATAATATAGTTATGTTATATAATATAGTATAGTATATAGTATATCATAAATGTTTATAGACTGATCATTTTCTCGAAAGTTCTAATCCTTAAATAATCTCGATTTAAAAACGAATTTAATTTGTGCCACTTCCAGAATAAACGATTTGTATTTTCAAAGAGTTAAGTATGCAGATTGCAATGAAAGTAGCTGCACTGATCTTTAAATATTTCATTCAGTGAGAATAATGAAATGTATAGATTCTCCATTGTTCTTTGAATGATTCATTGATTAAAGCAACTAACTAGTAACGAACAATGATCTGATGATTATGTAGAATAAACGAATATATATAT